TCACCGATATTGGCACGGCATATTGTTCTCCTTTCCTTGGGGCGTGTCGAGAAGTTTATGCATTCTGGTTCGCATCACGGCTGAAGCGCTAGGCGCGCCGTGTCTTCCTTTCTCGATCTAGCAATACCGATACTTCGGCTCCCCTCTGCCCCCCCTCTATCGTACCCCTCCTTGGCGGAGACGGACGGCGCCTCATCTCACGATAGTTGCAACGAACGTCGTCCCCTCAACCCTTGCCATTGTACACATGTCCTCTCCCGCCGGCAAATCGGACTTGAAGTCCCAAACGGGAGGAACACTAATTCTTCCCGGCCGAGAGGGTACGCACCACTCACCGAGCAGGGGAGGGGGTGCGTCGGAGCAGGATCTTCGGGGTCTAGACGCGCCGTCGACGGGATGACATGCGGCGCCAATGTACAATGATGACAGGCTGTGCATGATTGACCGCCAGGAACTGGAAGGAAGGAAGATGAGGGCCCTCTACCTTCGATCCGTGACCTTGGTTGAACCCCTGCGAATCTGGAATTTGGCTGTGTGTTTGGAAGCAAGATGACGGTACGGGGAGGGGGTGGACATTGGCAGAGGATGGACGAATGCGCATCGCCAAGGTGGCCTTTTTGAGTCTGGACCCTGTGCCTTTAGCTGATCGTCGGTGTGAGGTTATGCGCTGTCGGACACTGAAGCGACGAGAGGGACTCTAATGTGCCGCCAGGTGATTATTCGACGAATGCCCACCGATGTTTGCGCTGATGCAAGAGCGTCGTTGGTCTCTCTCCCATCGGAAATGCTAGAGGATATGAGGGCGTCACCACCGTTGAGGCTACCACCTAGAGCTCGGCCTCTCGGTAAACGCTAGGCTGAGACCCTGAGACTAAGGGCACAGCGGCAGAACCCTTATGCAGGGTAAACCAAACGCAACCTTACGTAGCACGCGTAGTAAGCGTCGGACCACGCAGACGAGAAGGGAATGGGTTTTCCGTCCTCAGAGAAGAAGCTATTGGAAGCGCCAAGATGCAGCTTATGAGTGTCATTTACAGCCATAGCGCCATGCTTTGCTTTTCATCTCACTTTTTTACCAATGATTGTGAGGGTCCGAGGTAACGAAGCTGGTGATGCCGCATCTGTCCCGTACGTCTGCCCCGCCCCGGTAAGACGGGGCCGTGGGGGTGCGGGACGAACTTCCGGAAATTTTGCTCCGGATGAAGAAGATTCCAGCAAAGGATGCGATATACATGCATGGTTGCTCTCGCATTTCTTAGAGGTTGCTGACAGGTACCTTGAATTTCAAGCTCCGTATTTGACAGATGGTCCCCCACTGCTTGGATGTCATTGCGTGTGGCCTTCCCCGCGAAGACCAGGTTGCAGGGTGATGGGGCTGGCCACGCCGGTCTTATTGTCTTAAAGCACATAATCTGGCCCTTAGAGATGGAAAGAGAAGTCCTGTATATGGCAGTCTTTGCAGCGAACGCTCGTTAGCTTGGACGTTCGAGTTTGAGGGTACCTACATCGCTGTCTTGGTACTATCTACGTCCCTCTAGGCGGTAGGTTGCCTTACATCTGTTCCCAGACGCAGCTTTCTATTTACGCCACGTTACTCCTGTAATCAATATTGGTATCCTTCAACACCTTGCGAGAGAAATCAGCGCCCATCAGGTATGCAATCGGGGTTTCATACCAGGAATCTTCTCGACAATCTATGAGATGATTCAGGCTTTCTTTCACCTATTTCCCTACTCAATCGACATTTCATCTGTTTGGTCTGTTACTTCAATCGAGTACTTCGTCCAAGTTAAACTACCTTATAATACGGAGTAGCGAGTTCTCATTTGAGGCCGTACATCAGAGTATCCGAGCATGCCCATCATAAAATCCCGTCCGTAATATACCGGAACAGGTATTAAAACCCTCATCCACTGCCCGCCCCATTGTCGGCCAATCGTGAGATTCCACAACAAAGAAACCTGAGTAAACCAGCCTGAGAAATCGCTTGAGATGATGCTAATTCGCTTTGAACATCATGCCAACATGCAGTTGCCATTACACAAATCTGAATGGGACCTTCCACAAGGACGCGGCCCCACCGTGGAGCCAACGGTCGGGTTGCCAGGACTCAGGCCTAAGCTTACTTAGTCCTCAGCTCCACCGCCTCTCCCAACCAACTATCACTGGATGTCAACATCCACCAATCCCCGATAGTCTAGTGGTGAGGATATCTGCTTGTCATTGATAATTCAACGATTCGCAGGGGACCGGGGTTCAATTCCCCGTCGAGGAGTTATCTTTTGCTTTTTTTTTTTGCCTATTGAATCATTTAATTCTGTCAATCACCATCGTAGCTATCCAATCAGCTTAATTTTGGACGCGAAACAGCTGGGCCCACGGAGATTGACCCTGTTGAGTCCATCGATGCATCACAACACCACAAGCCTCTCCAGCACGTCTCGAAACCAACGTTAAGCCACATAGAACTCGACTTTTACCTATGCCGTCTTCTGAAGCATCTCTCTGAATTACAAACGAAACTGGCCCGTCTTGGCAGTGCACAAATAGCTGGCGGATTCAGTGGCGTCCAGGCTTCAACGTCTCGACTCTCCGAAACGGCACTACTGTTTAGGTCAACGCTGACTAGATCCGTCGCTAGGACGTTTAAAATGAGAACCTCACCCCTCCTTCGCGCACAGTCGACATCGAGGTGGGGGACAGGGCAACGGGTTTGCAATGGAAGAAAAGGAATCGAGCAAAAACACAATGTGTCCTATGGCAGAGTGGCTTCCACTCTCCTCGATTGCCTAATGTCTATCTGCCCATCCACTCAGATATAGACGACAAGAACATCACCAAAAAACCATCACCGGCATTCGTGATGCACATTCTCGCAGTGCTCCTCTTCGGTGTCGTATTCCCGGCATGTGCGCGCTCAGAGAACCGCTTCCGCCGCCCACCGGGCCCGGGTCCGGCAGGAGACTTCCGGGATAACCCAGTCTATACCCTCGGCGACAACATTGACTTGCAGTGGGAGATGGATCTCAAGAACATCGACCTGATCTTATGGCAGCAGCAGCCCACGGGAAATGTCAAGGGGCCCTATGCCAAGCTCGCATGTAAGTCCCTACCACAACATACTTTCTCAGAGTTGCGTTTGACACCATTGCAAAGCCAATTCCACGGTGAAGAGCCTCGTCTGGACCGTAGGCTACGCAGGTTTTCCTTCAACGATGAATCCAGACCTGAGCCAGGTCTACTTCCTTCAACTCTTCAAGACGGGACAGTCGGGCAGCAGCGCGACATCTCACTACTTCAACATCACCGAGCCCGACAGCACATCAACCTCAACATCATCCGCAACAGCCACAACAACAGCCCTCGCCCTCGCATCAGCAACCCCAACATCAACCGCAGACTCCTCCCCGGCACAAACACCAACCGCCCCCGCCGACGAAGACCAACTCTCAAGCACCGCAGTCGCGGGCATCGCCGTCGGCGCGACGCTCGGCGCCCTCATCCTCCTCGCCCTCCTCGCGGGGCTGGTCCGCAGGTACGTCAAGCGGAGGCGGGACATGGCCGTCCACACGGAGGGCGACATCCTCGTCTACGCCGAGCGGCAGCTGCGGGCCAAAGACGAGGCCGCCGCGTGGAAGCTGGAGTTGCCGGCGCACAGCCGCGAGCGGTTCGAGGTGGAGGCGTGCGAGCCGAGGCACGAGATGCCTGCTGAGCCTGTGGGTGTTGGGATGGAGAGGGGGTGACAACGTGTAGTAAAGAATGGGTGTATGAGGGTGAGAGATTTGAAGTCAGGGAAGAGATTGGAGATCCCATCTGCTTAGTCTCCTTTGTATTAATTAAGCGGTTGATTTCTGGATTTTGGTTGCAGCTTGACCGGTGTAATGAGCTTGGCAGAATGAGAACCTTAATGAATCAATGACTGAAAAGGGCATTTTCCCTCGTGTAGAATGGGTACATGCGTGAAGAAGACGTATAGATTAGCCCCTCGTTCGGATCATGAAACGTCGATGTCAAATAGTTCCTACCGCGCCCACAGGGCTTGATATCATAGCAAAACTTGACCGAAATAACCAAGGGTGAATACGGCATACAGCAACAGAATAGTCTCCTGAGTCCTCAAGGTAGTTGTGGCCAAGAATTAGTTGCCGCCAAAGGAAGGGGGTCTCGGTAGCATTGTAAGATGCCAAGTCAACCTCTGAAAGAAACTCAGTTAAGCACTGTTCAACGATTTCATGTAAACAATCAATGTCTCACAATTGTCAAGCCATTCGGCTTATGGACGGTGAATTCCATGGCCTGCCTGCTGCTGTCAATGACGTCCACACACGCAGCCGTATTCGACCATGCTCGCTTCCATCGCCGTGAATATCATGCTCGGGTTCTCAAACTCGATGCACCGAGTCCAGTGGGTCCGCTTCCCGGTGGATTCTCCCAGGTTGTTTGTATCTCTGTCGCACACTGGGCACTTGATTTCAAGTCAGAAGCTCTCGGTCGACAGTGCTGGAATAGAATATATGACAAATTTGGTAGTGTGATTTCCTCGACGCAACAGCTTCTATTGCGTGTTTAGGTGTATTTTGCGGTGAATTTCAAAAGTTTGGTTTGCAGCATTGTCTCCAATGTCTCTTGCGAGCGCGTCGTTTCGGCGGGAGGTTGGGTCCGGATATGGCTGTTGGGTTGAATGGGTGATGGCTGGAAGATTAGGCCAGAGAAAAGGGGGTTCAAGAGGAATCTTGAGTTTTAACTTTCAAGCACGGGATTACAGCCGTCAAATTCGTCACGTTCTCAGAATATCTGTGTCCACATCCTTCGTTACTCAACCATACACTCCAGGGGATTCGTCACATGTGCCTACATCTAAGCGATGGGCTGTAAGTCTACTTCATGAGACTGACAAACACGTCATTCGGCCATGAGACATTTGCAACAAACCACTCAGTATAGGAAATTACTCAGTGTAAAAAGGTCCGAGTCCCACCGGCAACCAATGTCCATATACCTTATTCCTGGCCGGGCTTCTCATAGGGCTTCATTCCGTACACGGAGTACCTGGGATAAAATTAGCTCTTTTCATCATCCACAGACCCCAAGACTCGGAGATGAGCCGACAAAGAAGGCGGGGGAAAAAAAATACTCACACGTTCCAGAACCCATGAATATTAGTATTCTTAAAATCATCCCTCACCCCCGCCATAAAAACCACAACCTCCTCCCTCGTCCAACCCAACACGCGCGTAAACAGCGCCATGGCGCCCGGCTCGATGCCCTCGAGACTGCACGCCTGGCCCCAGACGCCGAGCTCCTTCAGCTCCGGGTTCAGCGGCCACGGGCTCGTGGGCCACACGCGCTTGTGCTCGACGACGTCCACGAAGCCGGCCTCGCTAAGCATGGAGCGGAAGCGGGCGGGCACGGTGATGGGGCGGCCGATGAGCTCGGTGCCCTCCATCATGAGGGTCGACCAGCGCGCCATCGGGTCGTCGGGCTTGAGGGTGCCGTCTTGGCAGAGGATGGGGAAGGCGTTGTCTTGGAGCTCGATGAAGCCGCCTGGTTCTAGGGCGCTGTTGATTCATTGGTTGTTAGAAGATTGGGGGGGTTTGTATGAATGCACGTGGGCATTGCGTAGTCGTGACAATGAGTTGCGAGAGAGGGGGGTAGATAGAAGCAGTTTCTTACTCGTAAGCACGACGAAGGAACCGTTCCCAGCTCTCGAAGCATGCGTTCATGTGTCTTGCAAAGATGAAGTCGAAAGGCTCCTGCCACGTCCACTCTTTCTCCACATCGTCGACTTCGAACTTGCAGTTCGGCGGGACGCTGTACAAGACAGTCTATTAGCTACAGGGGTTCAAGGCATACTGCGTAGGTATTGTACTCACAATTCAGGCTGAATAGGACTCAAATCCACGCCAATGACCTATTAGGTTGCCAGTGATGTTAACACTCGCCACACACCGCCCATGAACCCATCAGAGGGAGGCAGAACGGAGGCATACCACTGCTGCTGAGTGTTTATCCGCTATTGAGAATTGTTAGTCAAATCCCCGTCCTGCAATGGGAAAGGGTCATCGCTCCTGCTGAGAAAGTACTCTCGGGGGGGGGGGGGGGGGGGGGGGGAAGGGGGGCAAACGGCCAAACTAACCATATTCTTCAGCCCAAATACCAGTTCCGGTTCCAATATCCAAAACACGGTTGGCGCCCTGGTTCTTGGGACACATGCAGAGTTTGCCATCCCACGTCAGCGTCCAAAAGTGATGCTGGAAGTCTATTGTTTCGAGGACGGACATGTTAGCCAATGCCCGAAGTCTCCCGGTGGATCGCCTTTTTTCTGACGAGAACCATGGCCGCCGGGTAAGGTAGAAGAGAAAGACTGGCTCACCTAAACGGTCTTGTTCTCTCTATATTCCAACACGAAAACGCAAAGTCAGATGTATACTGAAATGTAACAGGAGGTAGAAGATATAATTTGTTAGGACGTACGGCATCGTTTGGGAGGATGTATGCTACACGTATCGTCAGCTACTTGCATCGCGAACCCAAGGGTGGAGGGGGGGGGGGGAGGTGGAAGGGGAGAACCATGAATGAATTCATGGTCTCTGGAGAAAGAGAACAACTCACTCCCATCACTGAGACTGTGATACGTGCGCCCGTTTTCCCTGCGGTAATCACGGATACTCGTTCTCAGGGTGTCTGTATCAGTGTGGACGGACTATGAAGCAAGAAACACTAGAGTTAGGAAAGCGAACATGGAGCACCAGAGCTGCGAAATTTTGCTGCAAGATATTTGCAGAAGACTTCCTCAAGCGGGAGAATGTGGAGAATTTGAAACTTACCGTGCCACTGGTCGAAGACGCATCTGATTCGAACTCTTGTGCCTCCTATTCAAACAAAGGCCGCAGGTGTCAGTTCTTTTCCGAACTCTATGATTTTGAATAGACAGAACCGGAGGAATTCATTGTAATTGATTGGACTCTTTTGGGGGGGATCAATTTGCCGGCAGGAAGATACATATAGGCTTCATCGAAATGGGGCGGCGGAAGGGGGGGGGGGGTTGACTCACGATGACCTCGTCGGGCTCGGGAGTCTGCTGAGCTTGGCCCGCGTCAGCCATTTCGTTTTCCGATATCCCTCTCTCTCTCTCTCTATCTCTCCTTCTCGCTGTGTGGAACGGCGGACAGACCAAAACCGTCAATGAAGTAACAAAACAATCACTGCACCAAATTCCAGTTCGTATCAAGATAGAGAAAGTAAAGTACAATCAAGAAAAAGGAACCAAGAAGGAGGAAAGCCCAAGAAAAAGAAGCAATCCAAGACGTCTTTAAATCCCCCCCTCTCTGCCTCCATCCCATGCCCCCTCTTCCCTTTCCCCTTCCCTCCCCTCCCCTCTCTCCATCTTCACAACCAAAACCCCTGCTTGAACTCCACAATACGACCTATCTTTGGGTTACTTTAGCATCCCCCCCCCCTAGCATTCTAGGTACGTGGTACCTGATTACGCGCCAACGGGACCAACGGGACCAACATAAACCGTCGGCGGATTGCAAAGAGGAGGAGAGGAGGGTGGGAAGGGAAGGGTGCTCCGCTCGCCCGCTTATGCGAATTCGCCCATTTTTTTGTCTGCAAGCAAAAGAACTGCAGTATAGGATATTCGGCCGTGATTGGGCTGGTCGCGGGCGGGACGATGTGGCACACTTTGACGCTCTCTTCCGGCCGCAACCAACGGGGGATGGATACAATTCGACCGGGGTACGGACGATTTAGCGTGCCCGCTTAGCGCTATCGGATCCTGTCAAATGGGAGGAGGTGATGGGCTGATTGATAGAGGTGGCTCGTCCATCTCTTTTTTTGTTCGGGTTGCAACTTGTGTTGGAAGCACTTTTTCTTTTGGGGGGGTTTATTTGCCGGTTGGATCTTTCTACGGGCAACGTATACATACACAAGTACAAAATGTGGCAAGAGACAAGGTGCGGATGAGATCCTATGTCCCATCCCCCCCCCCCCCCTTTCGGAGCCGCATGGCTACGGCGCGGCTGTGGAGAAGATGCAATGTTTGCTGTGCACCTCCACCCCCTTTCACTCCCCTGGGTATGAGGCTTGGTCCCTGTATATCACTTGTGATGGTATCATGGTTGCGAGATGAGGTAGGGAAGTAGGTGATTGCGACAGCATATATCACGGTTATTGGATGTTGTAGCTCTGGACGGGGTATATGTTGTACCGTGGATGCGGGGGAGGTATTTCGGACGAGCCGGGCAGAAGCACAAAGGACCTGGTGCCAATGACATCTATTTTGGCGATAAATTGAGACTCTCACCCGAGGCTCGTACGCGAGGAAGATGACGATTTTTACAAGTTTGATCATCTACTCGCCTCGGCCATGATTTGAAACGAGCGAGATCTATCTCAAGGTTTCTATTACTACAACACACGGAGCCTGGAGGAGGGGCTAACTCGGTTCCTCCAAGTGCGGTGATGTGCCTACCCTAGGCGGGTGCCAGGCTTTAGATTATCAGAATGGATCGAAGCCAATCTCAAGTAAGAGGATTGGTCTCGTCCTCATCGCCATGGTTATCATCCCTGGCGACGGGACGGACTGAATCTCCCGCCGCGGAGTTATCTCTCCCAGTAGCCTTCGAGTTGCCTCTAGGTACCATGGTCCAAATGTATTCTCCCCAACGCCACGCAAAAGAGAAAGAGCATACAGTTATACAAAGTCCCAGGGGTATCAAGACCAGATCTAATTCGACCAAATGCAACGTCGTTTTCACTTCCAGCCGTTACGTTCTCTCTCTCTCTCCCTCCCTCACTGCCGTCTCAGGCGTAGGGCTTCCTCCCATAGACGCAATACCTGCAATAAGCCGTCAGTCCCAATCAAGTCGAGCACGCGCATAAACACAAAAAGACCAACTCACACGGTAAAATAAGCATGCACACTGCCCCCGCGAATCTCCCTCTCGACCTCGTCGCAAAAATCGCGCGTGTCCTCCTGGGACCAGTGCAAGAACTGCGTAAAGAGGTGCATTGTCGAGGCCTCGAGCGCCTCGAGGCAATTCTCGCGACACCAGATGCCAATCTCCTTTTCGCGGGGGTGGTCCACGTCCCAGGGCCCGATGGGCCAGACGGTCTTCTCCTCGACAATGGCCTCGAAGCCGGCGAGGTCGAGCAGCTGCTTGAAGCGCGAGGGGGTGTCGCAGGGGCGGCCCATGAGCTCCGTGGCCTCCATCAGGAGCGTGGACCAGCGCGCGATGGCGCTGTCGGGGGCCATAGTGTCGTCGTCGCACATGATGGGGAAGGAGTTGTCCTGGAGTTCAATGTAGCCGCCGGGCTCGAGGTGGCTTTTTAGTGTGTCAGTCCAACGTCATGGGCGAATGTATATGGGCTTGGTAGAGTCCTTACCCGAGAGCCTTTTCAAAAATTGCGACCCAGTCGGCAAAGGCGGTGTTCATGTGACGGAAGAAGATGAAGTCGTAAAGCTCCCTCCACGGCCAGGGTTGCTCCAGGTCGAAGATTTCGTACCAGAGATTGGGTGGCACACTGGAGATGACAAGATTCAGCTGGGCGTTCGTTTTGGGAGCTAGAGCCAGAGCCTCTCAGAAGGATTGCGGGGGCTGTGTTTACTCACGCAGTCAGTTGTATAGGGCTTAGGTCGACGCCAATGACCTTAGTCTCATTGTTAGCAAGCAGGCAAACATCCGCACCCGAGCCACTTGTGCGAGAACAGAACGTGGCCGGGGGGTGGTGAAGGTTAGGCAGGCCTTACGACAGCTTCTGGGTGGTCGTCCGCTGCAAATAGGTTAATCGTCAAGATTCAAGAGTGTGTGTTAAGGGCAAGTCCTCACCGAAATCCGAGGCCCAGTGACCTGTGCCGGTTCCACAGTCGAGCACGCGCGCCGCACGCTCACGTTTGGGAGAGTTGGCAAGACGCGAATTATACGTGCGAAGCCAGAGATGGTGTTGGATAGCTACGAAAGAGGCCCCGTTAGAAGAAGAAAAGGAAAAAAAAGCATCCCTTTAGAGGGGCGGCAACACGGCGGGACTCTACGTGTACATACCTAGGCGGATACATTCATCCTGTTGAAATCCCCCCCGAAGAGAGTCCTGGTAAGCCAAAGGAACTATACAAAGACACGCATGACATGCGGGTTCACGGTGGAAAACTCACCCAGTCATTGGGCAGGATGTAGTCTGGTAGACTGAAGTCAGTATAAGGCGCTCTCGTCATCCATGGAGACATTGTCTTGGTCATTTGCTCACCTCTTGATGGATAGGTGCGGCCAAAACGCTGCTGAAAGGCGAGCTGGAGATCCGAAGTCTCGATGGTCCTTGTCGACGGGGCTCGTCCATCATGCTGTGATGACTGGAAGGCGTCAAGGTTAGGGTGTGTGTGTGTGTGTGTGTGTGTGTGTGTGTGTGTGTGTCTGGAGGCTGGAGGAAGATGGGCACGTAGGGGAGTTTGTTACATACGGAAGCATCAATTGTGAGGATGGATTGGTTGTCAGTGCCCGTCATCAGGCTGTCGGCATCCGTGGCGCTATCCTCAGTGACGTCCACGGATGGCCGGTCTGAGGCGGCGTAGATGGTCATGTCGGCGTCGTCGGAGTCTGCCGCGTCATCCGCCACGGTCTCCGTCTCCGTCGCCGCGGCGAAGATGAGAGCTTGGGCTTCGGCGAGGGTAGATGCGGAGGCGGGTGCGGGTGCTGGTGCGAGTGCTGGTGCTACGATGTCTTCCTCATCGTCAGAGGGGTCAGGGAACATGTCAAGGTCGCTGACGTAGGATTCTGCGTCGTCCGAGGCGGACTCTGCGTCGTCTACGGCATGCTGGGCGACATCGACGTCCACCTCGACCTCGTCAGCAAACAGAAGAGGGTCGATGGGGTTGGGTGCGCTGCTGCTGCTGCTGCTGCTGCTGCTGCTGCTGCTGCTGCTGCTGTTGATGGGCGGGTCACTCCATGTCGTGACATTGATGGAGGGGGGTTCCGGGTTCAGGTCCAGGTCCAGGTCCGGGCGAGGCTCCGATGCATGTGCGAGCGAGGCGGTCGCATCGTTTGCAAACGCCTGGCCAGACATTGTATGGACCTCTCTCTCTCTGTTGGCCGTCGCGGGGAGGAAGTAGTAGAGAGAAGAGAGGAGCTGGCGAGTCCACCGACGATGATGAGACCACGACGATGAAATTTGCGCAATGATTGGGTCGGGCGAGGAATGTCGTCGGGGAAGCTTTGGCTTTTTAATCTCGCGCTTCCGGAGCTCTCTCTACATCCGTCTCTCTCTCCCCTCCCTTTTCTTCAGAGCTCAGTCTCGCCCCGTGGCCCAGTAGCCAGTGGACACTACGTAGTGAAGTACTTCGCCTACCGTTCTGTTGGGTGTACCGAGTACTCTTTTGGCTGTCCACCTTGTCTTGGGTACATACCAGTACTATGGATAGCTAACTAGGGGGATAGGTATTCCTTGCTGCTGTTGGCGGCCAAAAAAGTGACTTACTGCGGTAAAGACTCCCCGCTGACCAAACGAACGGCCCCCCCCCCCCTCCCCACCAATTGGTCGCTGCTGGAACTCTGTTGGAACCAGGGTACATCTGGCAGTCTTTTCGGCGGTACCCAGGGGGGGAAAGCAGAGCAAGAGAGGGAACGGTTGGTGCAGTGCCCAGCCACTATCGCCCAGCCACTGTTGGGAGAAGAGACCAGAAACCCTTCCCCCCCCGGTCTCCCCCCTCTCTTCCGCCCTACCCGGGCTGGACGTGATTGGTGCTACGCCGCATGCGTGGGCTCATTCTTGCATTTTTTTCTCGCAGCGGGCGCGGGAGAGAGAGAGAGAGAGGGGAGGCCGACTTTATCACCTCAGTAGCTTCCAGCTTCTGACACGCCAGGGGGAACAGCTGATGAGGTATCGATGGGATCTAGGTACTCTGTAGTTTTACACCCTTGACTGATGGGCGTTGAGCCCTTGAGTTGTTTGCTTGTTTTACTTGTTTGTCACAATGCAGATGTATTGTGGTATGGTGCCGCTCCTGGTCCAACGCCGTTCCAACCGCTGAAGTGACGGATTCGGTGGTTGGACTTCCGCAACCGCCTGCTGGGGTCACACCTTGGTCGGGGGTCATATGCTGTTGGTCACAACTTGTCACCGATTTCATTTCCAGTAGTGGATTCTGACGATAACGAGGGAAGCGAGTGCTCAAGTTGAGCATCCAACCAACACTGAGGCGCAGACGAACCAACCCGTGAATTGTAACTCCCACCTTCCAACAAACACTTCGTAACTCTTGCTCTGTTGAGTCTCGTTCAGGGCGCTTCCAAGTTCCAACTGACAGGTACCTTGTTGTCTCTGAAAGCCAAGCTTCATCGTCGCTGGCAGGATCCTGTACTGATCATTGCTAGTTGGGTTCATGATACAGGTCAAGTTGATGAAGACGTCAACTTCAACTTGAATCTCAACATCTCACGAATACTCTGTGCCACAAACCCAAATCTACCGGATACTAATCAACAAACAACCAACTCAATTCTTCAAGCACTTACCCGCGTCCCACCGTCGATCCGGGGGTGGACGTGGCACAGCATGGCCAAGGCCGCCTGTGGCCCCTGGGCTGACGATTCCACGCCGCAATCCGCGCCCACGGCTTCGGGTCCGGGTCTTCGCAGTAGGCCTAGCCCTAGTTCTAGGTCTAGGTCTACGGATACCTACCGCTAAGTAGGTGCCAGATCTCCATGCCACACACCCGGGCCGCACTACCGCCTTGTTTCAACTCCCTCTGCACCCTACTTTACATCTTACTACTGCAACAAACAAGCAAACATGCAAGTGTTCAATGTTTGCCCACCATGCAGCCTCTTGGCGTAAGCTTCTCTGGCCTGCCTCAAGTGGGGTTTCTTCGATTTACTCTTTCTTCCAGGCAGGCTGTACACCTTGACCTCTGCAGCCTTCATCACGACTTCCCGCCTTTCTCCAATGCTCTTCATCCAACATCTACTGTCTCATTGTTGAGTCATCATCCCACGCTGGGTCTCATCATCTGCCGTGCAGAAGCTCACGTTTGGGGCATACAATCACATCATCAGCCAATGCTGGGCTTTTGGGGTGCAATTACATCACCGCCGCACTTGCTTGGCCTTCGCAATACTCATATGTCCTAATCAAACAGCCACTTCATCTCATTCATAAAGACTCGAGTAATTTACACCCTCACCGTCCGAGGCCTACCAAGAGCGCCAGAACACAAATCATACGAGCCCAACCATCCGTTGCCCAGCTTCGGAATCACACCGTACTCTTGAGCCACCCACCTGAAGGCCAGCATACCTAACCTCGAGGCCAATCTTGATGGGCAGGAACAAGCATCCATCTCCAGCTCATATTGTCTGCATTGCTCTCTCAAACAGAGGACTCTACAGCTCAGATGCTCTCACCGGCAGTGAGCACGGCGAATGACCCAACGCATCAACATGTGATTCAGAGAATGACCTCAAATGACAGAAAACAGTAAAACTCTCAAGAGGTCTATCGCAACATCTACGCCTCATCTAATCCACCAACTGAAGTCGATACGTCTGCAGTTGAAACGGCCCAAGGTCAACCTCGAACCCGCCATCCTCAACACGAACATCCTCCTCGTCGTCCTCCAGCAGATTCGTCTTATACACGCTCTTCACAGCCCACTTCGTCGCCACCCTCCCTCGTCCGCGTCCCCCCAAACTCTCATACACCCGCACAATCACGCTCCGCCCACCACGGACAGGCAATTCGCCATCCCCGACATCCTCATCATCCTCGCCGCGCTTCACCGTATCCAGCACCAGATTCTCATCCCCCGTCAACGTAACCGGGAACCCTCCAGCACCACCTCCCGCCTTCAACAAATGGGAACCCGCAGACGCAGAGACAACCTTGAGCGGATTATTGAACTCATACGCCGCCCTCACGGTCTCCGGCCCCAACGGACCCCGGTGAGGCAAAATCGCCCACCGGATCGTATGCCGCCCCATGTCGGCGTTATCATCAGGCGCCTTAGACGACCGCAGGAGCGACAGCCTCATCGTGCTGCCGACGGTCGCGAAGCCGTATTTGCTGTCATTGAGGATCGACACGCCGTACCCGTACTCCGAGAGGTCCGCGTACTTGTGGCAGCAGACTTCGAACTTGGCCATGTCCCAGCTATCGTACCTGTAGTTAGCAAACACGTTCCACCATCGAGCTCTACGTCGCAAAGAGGACGACTTACGACGTGTTGTAGTGCGTCGGCCGCCGAATAACCCCAAACTGCGTATCGTACGACGCTTCATGATGCCGCACATCGACCGGGAACTCGACCTTGAGAAACTTCATCGTCTCATGCCAGTCGACTTCCGCAGTACACTCCACGCCCACACCCGCACTCGCGCTCCCATCAACCACCGCAGCAAGACTAATCACCGTCCTCACAGAACTAACCTCACTAATCCGCGTCTCCGTAACAACACTCACCCTCAAAGGCGACGCCTCCAGCACACTCGTCCGCCCGCCGCGCACCTCCTCCCGCGTCTCGAGGTGGAACACCTCCACGTCCCACGCCTGCCAGTAAATCGGCTTATCGTCAAAAATGACGAGCTGGTTCGCCCTGCCGCTGCCGGGGGCTAGAACCTCGCGGTTGGCGGCGCGGCGGTCGAGGAGGGAGGTGATTGTGCCGGATTCGACTGTTACTGTAAAGTGGCTGTTTTCGAGGACGAAGATGCCTTCAGAGACTTCTTGAACTGTTACGAGGGGCTTGCTGGTTTCTGGTTGGGTGATTTCTTGGGTGGCGATGAGGGTTCCGGTGCCGTTGGCGATGAAGTCTTTGCCGTTGATGGTGAGGACCTCTTGTCGAGGCCATCCTAGAGTGTTGAGGGCTACCAGTCTCTCGGATTCGGTTGGGGTCTCGCTGATGTCGTTGATCTTGAGAACGCTGTAAATGTCTCTCAACAGCGTGCTGCCGATGCTGAAAACATTCGCATAAACCTGTACACCCGTAAGCCACTCTCTCCGCCGCTCATACAAAGAACAACAAGCAGACTTACCTTATCCGAATCATCATAGCACATCCCAATAGCGGTCCCAGGAAGGCAATCGTGAAACTGACAAAGCAGCACCCCCTCCCACATCTCATCCAACTCCTTCTTGGGGTACCTATACCCCCTATCCTCCACAGACGCAATCGTCGCCAACAGCTCCACATCCCTTAAAAGAATCTCCGCCTTTCTGTTATTCAGCTTCGTCTGCGCCTGCGTGGTGTACACCCCGCGATGCAGCTCAAAGTACAGCTCGCCGTGCCACGTGGGGAACGTATGCGCCTTCTTCTCGAGGCGGTCAAAGAAGTCGTCTGGGGTGCCGCCGGAGTGGACGCGCGGGAGGAGGCCCGTTGTGTCGGCGAGGCCGCGGAGGCGGCGGAGGGATTCGAGTTGGGGACGGGTTGGGCCGCCGCCGCCGTCGCCTTTGCCGAACTGTGGTATTGGGTTAGCATACGTGGGGTAGAGTGATTGCTGTGAGAAGGGGCTCTTCTATCGAGGATGATGAGTTTGAGGAAGATGGGACTTACGACTAGAAGAGAGGTGTGGTCTTGGTCTAGAGACTTGTGCTGCGTCATACTGCGCTTCACATCACCAAACGTCGCGTTGGCGCAGTATGTCTTTGCGGGTGGCATGTGACAAATAACCTGGCTCCCATCAAGAGCAACCCTGCGACAACAGCCGTCAGCATCAAACCCGCTTTCACAAGTTTCCACTCTGCCTAGAGTACATCAGTATCAACTGCCAAGGACCGACATACCAGTTAAACGTAGTATGAGGAAACTCATTCATATTATTAAAGCAAATCTTCTGCGTCAGGAACCGGTTCATCCCGGCCTGCCGACACAGCTGCGGCATCTGGCTCGACTGGCCAAAGGTATCCGGCAGCCAGCACGTCGTCGAGCGCCGGCCAAAATTACTCTCGAAGAAGCGCTGGCCAAAGAGGAACTGCCGGATCAGCGACTCGCCGCTCGGGATGTTGGTGTCGTGCTCGACCCAGCAGCCGCCAATGGGGTGGAACTGGCCGGCTGCGACTTTGGACTTGACGCGGGTCCAGCCGTGGGGGTAGAATTGCTTGAGCCATTTGAACTTTGGCAAGTACGTTAGTTAACCATCGCAAAGAGGAGAAGGACGAGTGAGAGACGAGCAAGTGAACAGAGACGAAACACACACCTGCTGAGCCTGCGAGCAGGCAAAGTTCAGCTCGGGATACCGATCCATCAAATCGCATTGGTTCAACCACGACCTCGCAACCTTGCGCTTCGTCTCCTCCCAAGGCCACAACCAGCACGTATCAATATGACAATGCCCGATAGCGTACACACTCGCCCCCTTTCCACCGCTGCCGACATCAAACACCTTTGCCGAGTCAACATCAGGCCCCAAATACTCCTCCGCAATCTTCCTACTCGCCACAATCGAGGCCCGATCACCGACCCGGAAGGTGTTAATGATCCTCGTCGCAACGTTCAGCGCCTCGTGCTGCTCCCAGGAGTCCTCGGGGAACTCCTCCGCCGCCTGGTGGATAACGGTGATATCCGCATGCAACGCCCTGGCCTGCAAATCCACGCCTACAATCTCGGCTTTCGTCAATGTGAAGATCTTATTCGGGTCGGGAGGTTGAATCGCGTCCCCGTTGGCGTTATTCTTGAAAATCGGCTCGCCCGCCGCGTTGGTCAGCATCCCATTACACGCCATCTCCAGATAGAAGACATGCTCCTCCCCGTCCTTGAACTCCTGGGGCAGAATCCACTCTATACGCTCGCCGCGGCCCGTGAGGCCCTGCAGGGGCTCGCCGTTCGAGGTCCAGACTGTTGCCTCGTTGCTGCAGTCCCAGTGGAGTTCGAGGTGGTCCATCTGCCGCATGTCCTCTGGGATCGTGACGCGGACGCGGAACCAGTGCGTTGACCAGGACGGACCGAATGCGTCGCCTACTTTGGAGGGAGTGTAGTCGTTTGAGGAGGCTGTTGCGTCGGCGAAGGGGGGGCGGGTGAGGCCTGGGCTGTGCCATACTGAGAGGGCGATGACTGAGGGGTCGGAGCGGACTGCGAAGTGCATCATGCTGTGGACGGACTGCTTAGCATTCCTCACAGAATGATGCGAGTTGTTGAGGGAGTAGACTCACGAGAGCAGATTGACCTTCTCCCATTGTCCTGGCGAGTAGAAGTTCGCCGTGCGGTCTCTGTACAGCTTGTTGGCTCTCTTCCCGACGGGGACAGGTGCCCGTAGCGGGTAAGAGGACGGCCCGCGGCCACCATGTCCATCTAGACCACACATTATGAAGAGCTGTTCTGGTGATGGACTCTAAGCTGATTCCACCCGTCGAATCTGGTGAACTCCCACGCCCAAGTGTGGAAATCCAGCAGCAAGCGTCTGTCGTGGTAAAAAAAGAAGCTAACCACAACATGGGACACACGGCTTTCTTACGGACAACAAGAAATGCTGCCTCTCGGTGGCTTCTCCGCATCATCGGCCGACAACCGGCCGATTCCCTCATTCAACTGACTCCATCTTCTCCCCGACTGGCTGGGGATTTCGGTGCCGAGGACAAAACCCCCCACGCGGGGAACAAACTTGGCATAGGGAAAACAACCGGCAATCTTGACCGGAGATTTGCGGTTCTGCCGGCGGGATATCTCAAAGTTGGGGTCTTGGAGAAGGACGCGACCTCCTCGGGTAAGAACCGTCCCAGGCGTCGAAGACCCGAATCGGGCTGGCTGCTTGCTCGTTTGCTTGTTCATAAGACAGGGGACTCGTAATTGCCCCGCTTCCAACAACGGGGTTTGGCTTTTAGCATCATAGGTTGGGTCCAATGAAGTGGATGGCATGGGGTTCAGAGCTGGGGGACGTTGTCGGAATTGTGGAATCTGGGGGAGGGGCTTGCTGGGAATATCTGGGATAATTAAGCTAGACTGGGGTCCTGGTCGGGAGAATGAGGGGGTAGATTGCAACGTTGCGACGATCCCTGCTGGTACATCTCCACAACAGTGTACAACTGTTCCTTTTCCTTTCACAAGCATTTGTGTACTTTGTGTTGGCTCCTTACTGTGCTTGTGTGCCACTCTCACAAGCTTTTGCCAAGTCATGGCCAAGGATCTGGTTATTCTGGTCTCTCTCTTGGTTGCGGAAGTATCGCACTGAGTTCAAGCAACGCTCACTACTTGATGACTGTGAGCTACAATAGTAGAAACCTAGCAGACTGAGTCTAGAACAATATAAGTAGTCCTAGTGACCTGCGCAATATCCCATGTCTCTACCGCCCGGAATCTACCACAATTGACAGAAGGACAATAGACAATCCACGTGTCTGAACCAGACCCTCAGTAGTTGTATCTGAAGTTGACATCCTCCTACGACACAATTAGCAACGTAAACACTGCAAAAAATCATCGAAACGTAAACTTGCCTTGTCCGTCATGTCCTCAAATGCATGAGAATGCGCCGTGTCAGCAACAGCCTCCCCACGCGCAATCTTACCATCCCGCAACTTATTCTGCCAAACATAATACGTCCGCAACGCAAAAAGCACAACCTCCAACAACACAAAGCACCCCAGAATGATCGCCAGCGCCAAAAAGTACCGCGGCGCATCCTTGGCGCGGAACACCTGCGGACCAATCGAGTTGCCCACGGCCCAAAAGATGAAGTTGCTCGTGATCACGACGCCCTTCTTGGTCTGCCCGGCCACGTTGCGCGTGACGAGCGAGAGCGCGAGGCCGCTGCACGCCCAGAAGGAGATCATGATGTAGTAGGCGAGGAGCAGGCCGACTTTCTTGCTGTGCTCGAAAGGGACGGTGAGCAGGACGACGGTGCCGGCGATGGTGGGGACGACGGCGGCCATCATGGCCAAGATTGTCTGCTTGAACCGTCTGTCGATCCAGGAGGCTGTGAGCATGGTGATGATTTGGAGGATGCCTGTTACGCTTTGGAGGAGCTGGGTTTCCCAGGTGGAGAAACCAAAGGACTGGGCAAGTGTTAGTTTTCATGTCTACTGTAAGCTTATCGTGCTTTTGGCAGATGGTTGGTTACCTTGATGATGATGTTTGCGAATGCGCCGAGACCTCCAGACGGGAGGGTGGTCAAGAGCTGAATGAGAGCGAAGCCATACACTTTGGGAAGCCAGTCAGTCTACTATCCCATGGGGTAAGACTCAATGAGGCCTTCCTCACCTTGGGGGTCCTTGAACGCAGCAAAGACCTGCTCCTTGCGCCACTTGCGGTTCTGCAACCCGGTACGGTTGGACCGCACGCGCTCCACCATGAGCTTCTTGTCCTCCTCGCTGAAGCAGTGCGCCTTCATCGGCGAGTCGGGCATCCACCACATGACGAAGGCGCCCCAGAAAACGGTAATGATGCCGTAGGTCATGAACAGAGCTTGCCACGATCGGATGGGCGACGAGGCGGGAATGAAGGAGAAGCCAAAGGCCAGGAGACCGCCGATGATCTGCTGGAGGCCGTTCATCATGTACCTGCGTGTAGTAGGGGAATCAGTTTCGTGTACACCAGCAACTCATTGTTTAATCGCCATCGGAATCGTTTACATACCAGTAGATGGCGGTTGAGGCCTGCTCCTCACGCTTGTACCACATGGAGGTGAGCAGGACGAAGGTCGGTTGGCAGACTGCCTCGAATCCACCTAAGAAGCCACGGACGATGACCAGACCGACGAAGTTGTGGCATGCCGCGTGGAGGCTGAGCGTCACTCCCCACATGATGATGTTGAACGAGAGCCATTTCGCAATCGGGATCTTTTGGATGATGTAGTTTTCCTGGTAAGTCGCACATAAGGTCAGGGCATTGTTTGTCTTTAAAGGGTGAGGGGAAAAGCCATACGGGATACTCAACGCAAAGAATGACGAGGTAAATGATGGTCGTCAACCACGAGTACTGGCTCAATCAGCATGAAATGTGACACTGTGAAGCGATAATTGTACCTGTTGGCCCACAAGACCTGTGTCAGGAATGATGCCCATGATGGACGCGAACGACATTGTCCCCTTGTCCAGCGACTGCATAAAATAGGTGAAGACCATGACACTCAACACCCGCTTGTCAATCATCCTCTTCAGCCTCTTGTTTGTCTGAGCATCGATTTCGACAATCGCCTCGCCGGCGTACTTGGCAACCTCATTGTCGACCTTGTCGTAGTTTGTCCGCTGCTTGCCCTCGGCCACATCCTCGACCACATGGGGCGCCTCAACGATGTCGGCTTTGCTCATTGTGAATGACGGCTCTTCGACACAGAGGCCCCTATTCTGAAATCTGACGTTGGAGGCTCTGCGTCGCACAAAAATAGGCTCGAGAGGCTTGCTTGGCGCGTCCGACAGCCAAGAGACTATCAATGAAGGAAAAAGGATGAAGGGGGCGCCCTTTTATCTGGGGGTGGTCAGACCATCTTGAGCTTCCCAAGCTTGGATCAACACCAGCCCGGCAAACCCATAGTCTTGGTACGGCCGGGGGTGCCCATCCACATCCCGTACGTACTTTACGTATGTTGGGACAGAGACCACGCGACCTTGGGCATATGCGCACGACTCATCCAGCCATAGCTCCGAAAACCTCGTGGGCCGCTATGCCGCTTGAGGGGTGGTTAACCGCGATAATCGTTACATTTTTCTTATTTCTGTCTGGCTCCTTGTCGTGTTTTGGTCACCCCCTCGGCTATTCGACACCGTACTTTGCCGATGATCATTCCATAAAAACCTGGAGAAAGGGCTCCATTGAGGATTTGCGGAGGCGGGGGTAAGGACCGGGGTGGCGTGCGGGGGAACGAGTCCGGACCGGACACCGGGCCAAGGGTCAGGATGGTGGGGCTAACTAGATGTGGTCTATTGTGCGGAGAAGCTGTTGTTGTATTTCGGGAGGGATAACGATAGTCTGAACGAATTCTTCTCTTGCTTGAATGTTGACTTTGCATGACTTGCCTACTCGTACAGGTCAGGAGTATGGCTTTGAAGACGCAAACACACGGCGGATACTACGGCATATCGTCTCAATGGACTGGTAAATACGGAGCAGAGGCTCTGCAGTAATACAGTTAGCCCGGTCCGGAAATGCCAAGGCGGTAGCGGGGTGAGACCATATGTTCCGCAGCGGAACTCTACATGATCACTTGGCAGCCTTTCATTGAGTGAGCCGACCTCGGCCGGCAATCACCCGGTGCGTGGATACTTGGGGAGGAGAAGTTGAAGATGGCTCGAACTCAACATTATCCCACGCAAAACCTCGCTATTCCTCGCAAAAACAGATTTTCATGATACACCGCGATGTTTGAAAAAGCCATTGTGACGTTTTCGTCACCCAAAGACGCCGCGGCCTTTGACTTGGCCGGCTCAACCATCCTGGTAGACGAGTCGGATCCGGTCGGCATCCGCATCGCAGCGCAGAACCTCGCGCAGGACTTTGGTCGAGTCACACAGTCTGAACAGAGCATCGTCCAGATCGTCCAGGGCACCCAGGTTGGTGTCGCCTTGGGATCTGCCGCTGCCATCATCATCGGATCAATCGGAACCAGCTCTATACTCCAGCGGCTGGAACAGGATGGAAAGCTCAGTTTTGACGAGATCCGAGGGAAATGGGAGTCCTTTTCCACCCATGCAATCGACCAACCCTTGCCGGGCGTGCAGAGAGCCCTCGTCATTGCCGGGAGCGACAAGCGAGGGGCCATTTTCGGCGCCTACACCCTCTCTGAACAAATCGGAGTCTCTCCGTATGATTTCACTTCAAGTCGTGTTCCGCTCTTCTGTTAACATCAAGTGCACGTAGGTGGTATTACTGGGCCGATGTCCCTCCCAAGCATCATGCAGCTATCTACGCACTACCAGAGCCGACATACCATGGTGAACCAAGCATTCGCTTCCGCGGCATCTTCATCAACGACGAAGCTCCCGCCCTGACTGGCTGGGTCAGAGCCAATTTCGGGAGCTACAACTCTGAATTCTACAAGAAGGTCTTTGAACTACTTCTGAGACTCAAGGTACACGCCCAATCTGGCATGAAGGAGAATAACTCCAAAACTGACTTTTCCTCCAGGCCAACTTCCTCTGGCCGGCAATGTGGCCAGGCTACCCCAACCCGGGCGCCTCATTCTTTACAGATGACCCCCTTAACCCCAAGCTCGCCGAAGACTACGGAATCGCCGTCTCAACGTCCCATCACGAGCCTATGCAGAGAATGTCCAATGAGTGGTTCGCAGACAACCCGGACGGCAGCTGGAACTGGCTCACCAACAAGGAGAAGATCGCCGCCTTCTTTGATGAGGGAGTCAAGAGGGCAGTG